ATATATATATATATAAGTTGTTCAGGTTTTTTCATCTAAAAAAAGTGACATTAATTTCTTGACGACCTAATAGATATAATTAGCGTCATTTTTGCTCCTGTTTTAAAAGCGTTCCTATCAGCACACACAGATAATAAATTGGTTTGTCACAAATTATCCAAATTACGCTTTGATATTTAGTAACAATGATGTATATTTTTATCATTATAAAATACTGTATAGTTTTAACTGTACACGTTTTGGTCATCGTGGGGGGGGGGGCACAAAAACTAAATTAAAGTACATTATAGAAAAACAATTCAGTTTTGTAACTGAATCGGGAATATTTTTGATGAAATTACAAAAAACATAAATCCATAACAATTTCTGATGTGCAGTAGTGGCTCTAACAAATTAACTTATTAACATATTAAACTAGCATTTCTTTTATTGAGGGTATTGATTTGAAAACAAGGTTTTCGATTTACAAAATCATCGATGTAGGTTTTAATAACACAGGCCTGCGATGGTTTTATTGTCTTGATATTTTTACATGTTCTACAGTAATTCCTGTACACTGAATCCGAAAATGATATTCATTTTTCTTCATCACGTACACATTTTTCCCAAAACGTCATATGTACTTTTACATAAGTGAATCATTTTCATTGAAATCGGGTCACATTTTGTTATACTTTAAATGTTGACAACCATTGACAAAAGATTTCTCTAGACCAATCGCGACGTGAGAGTCTTATTGAGCGTTCTAGAACTCAAACATAACAAACATAATGATAAAAAATGCTCATTGTGGTAAACGAAATAATAATTTGATCTAAGTAAGAGTTTTTCTTCCCGATTTCTAAAAAATCCTTACGCGATAGAAAAATATGAATATTATGTTCGTAGCTAAATTATGAGAAACTCCGTTGTTAAAACCAAAACAACTTTTATGAAGTTTATATTCGTAGTCCTGTGTAATCGATGAATAATAAATAATTTAATTATTTCAACATTTTTCGACAAACTGTATATGCTATCGGCATGTTGATTTTTTCTACATGAACTTTAACGTGTGGTTTTATTTATATTCCTATTCAACATGTACCTTATAACTTTCTAATATAATTAATTTCCACAGTATTAGTACTTATGTTGATTTCTATACAAACCCAATTACTGATCGGGAACAAAAGTAAATGGCAATAAAGATGGTATTACACACGCATATGTAGTAGTTTGAGTTGTTAAAAGACAATGACAATCAATAATGGGCAATCTTTTCAACGTAGTTGCGAAAACGCGATCATGCTCGGCAACAGATTCGATTCTGTTGAATGCTAAAGTTGGATTAGCACGTATGTCAGAGAACATAAACTTGAGGTCGAAATAGTTACGTTTTGTTTAATGTTGCTGTTTATCACCTTACACAACACAGACAAATAACTTAAGTTTAATTGAAATAACTTTTCAATAATTGACAGAATCAAGATTTTAGTACAACTGAATAACATGTTGTGTAATAATATTAACTTTCATTAATACTTACATAAATTTAGTGTTTATAAGTTGTGCATTATTGATTATGGAAACAGTGAGCATATACTGAAGACTATATATATATATGTATAGCTTTTACTGTGATTTATGTAACTAAGAAGTTCACAACAATTTATGTTTATGTATAACATATTTCAGTCTTAACATTTTGTTAAAAGCAAACATAAATTACAAAGCTCATTATCTAATGTTTGTATTCAACGCACGTCAACGTGATACATTATGTTCATGGTGATCACATATCACGGTAGAATACATTGATTATATATCTATCTTTCAAACTTACACAAGAAATGTGAAACTAGATTATTTCCACTAACTTTAAAACTACTTACAATTAAAACTATCAAATCCAGTTTAAGCAGGCTTTTGTAAGATCAACTGTCTTACAGGATAACATTCAAGTAAACAGATAGTCTGTCTCATGAATATGAGGAATATCACAATAGGAGTACATTTGGTAATACGCATGTGCAGGGCTTCTATTGACAAGCGACCTGCTTTTCACATTACCTCTCACGTAAAGTCAGAAGTCAAGTAACAGTGGTGGAAGAGGAGGATAAGTCCTCTTGTGACGGAGCTCTGTGATTTATTGATTTCAGTTTGTTTCAGTCACTTAGCTAGAAGAAGGA